TCTGCTGAGTTACATTTTGGCCAATCTTTGCTGCCTTGGAGCTGCTGGTTATGTCTCTGCACATGGGTGCATGATGGCCTCAAATTTTCCATGGGAGTGATATGTTTCCACAGCACCTTCTAAAACATCTAAACAAAGGCACCTGGTTTGATAGACCAAGAGACAATACCAATATCAATTAAGGCACAAGCTGTAAGTTATCTTTTGATGGAGAAGTGGAAAAGTGTACAGAAAAAGAGTGAGGTTGCTCTGCTGAACTGGAAGCTGACTGGCTCAAGGCAGCTCTGGAATAAGAGCTGAAAAGCTTCATTAGAGGAGTGTTGTGCCCTAGTGACAAATGCTGCTGAGCGTCAGGGCAGAGTGCCATACTACTGTTGCTAGAGAGCATCCAGGACAGAATTTGCTTATACCAATTCTGGGCAATTCTGTGTAAGGGTTTTGGTCGACATGCACCTTTCTGTTAGATATTTCTACCTGAGAATACCCTGAAATGACCATATTAAAAAAAAATATATATATATATATATATATATATATATATATAAATGCTTCCCTTTCCTCTGCAAATTTAGATTTAATTTTGGAATGATCTTAAAATGAATCCTGAGAGGCAGTCATCCTTTCATTTATATTCAGCATGAATTAGTTTGGAATTCCTTGTGATTTCTGTCATGGCAAGTATGTAGGAACATTCTGGCACAGCTTGTATGGTTGTGACTTCTTCTCCCTGCCCTTTTGTGAAGAAAAGTCAAACATCAGGCAAACTAAGCCACTATATTACTGGTAAGATGCATTTTATGTAAGATTTAAGTAAATCATGCTGTTCAAACATCTTAAATACAAAACAAAACCGTGATTTGGAAAGTTGGAAGGTTTCAGAATGAGTCTGAGAAAAACATTTAGAAGTGATGTTTCCTTAGTACTAGCTGTGCATGAAGCTGCTGTTTTTAAGAGCTGGATACCTGTTAGTAGTGGAAGTGCTGGATCTTGATTTCTCAGAGTTTATTCTGTTGCACATGCAAAAGCTTAGCAAGTTAGAAAGCAGTTTTTTCCATTATGCATCTTTTCCTGTAGGAAAGGGATTCCACAATATAATAAGTATTATGTTGTTGCTGTGATCTTTATGTCATTTTTTTTTAAATGAACTTCTTTGATAGAAAGGAGAAAACAACAACTGCTTCTGGAGTAAAGACCTATGAATCCTTTCCCTCAAAAAAGATAAAAAGTGATAGAAGATCTGTCCAGAATTTGTCTCAAGAGGCTGTTCAGGCTCAATTCATGTCTTAGGGCAGGGTCCTGCATCTCAGCTGTTCCGACCATATTTTGTTTTACCTCTTCTCCATTGCTGACAGTTGTAAAGATTCTGTTGTTGCTCAGGTCACTCAAACTAGAACTCTGCTATTCCTGCCATTAGAAAAGATTATTCTTTTTAGGCATTACCTCCTCTCAACACTGCAGGTCCATTCTTATTTTTTCCTACTTCAATATAAGGCTGCTCTTTCTCATGCTTTTATCAGTGGTCTTGGAGAAAAATGTTCTTTCTAACTCCCTTTAAGAGGGCATAGAGAAAGTATCATTGCTTTGTTCTTTAAGAAAACTTGTACAGTTATTCCTTCTTAATCTAATGGTTCAAACTTCTGTTTGGTATTGCTGTTCTTTCATGATAGATTCATCCTTCATGATGAAATCAATTCATCTTTCTTGAAATACAGTAGTCGAAACTGGATATAATATTCCATCTGACTAGAGTGGAGGGGTGCTCCATCCTCTTGTACATATGGTAGCTCTATTTATAAGTCCCTCATGATACTTTCCTTTTTCTTTGTGAGAGTATGTTTGTTGTCATGTGGTCTGCACATCCTTTCTGATGAAAGCCTCAACAGTTGTTTGCAATATTATTTTAAACAGATGGTTCTTCTCTAAAGTGTATAGCCTTGCATCTGTTCTTAGTAGATCTCAGGACTGTGTTTTTGTGCAGACCACTTCCCAGCTTTGTCAGGATTGTTCTGGATTATAACATAGCTTTCTAATACATATTTTGTTCTTCAAGTTATCGTCTGTAAATTCAATAAAGAATGCTTTTATTCACTATTTAATACTGAGTAGGCAAGACTTCTGTGGATTCACCCTTACTTCAGCCTTCCAATTTGGAAGTGATCTTCCAAATCAAAGTTCTTCCCAAATCAAAGTGATCTTCCCAATCAAAGTTCAGCTTTCCAAGCAGTTTTTACCTGCCGTGCTGTCCTTGTCAGAAGTCCTGCTGAAGTTAAAAAGCATTGTATCTTCTGAATCGCAGCTTGAGGGCAAAATATCACTAGTGCAAGTTATAGCAGCACTCCCTATCAGTGAGATGCTTTTGTAATTATTTGTATTAGCAGACATTGTCAAAGCTCCACGTATTTCCTGTCATGGTTCCATATGAAGGTTTATCACAGCAATTGTATCAACCCTTTCTTTCTCACTTGTCAGCCTTAATGATGGGACAGAAGCTGAGAAGGAACGCAGAATTTGGGTTATTTTTTGAAAGGCTTTATACTCTGTCTCAGTTGTTCAGATTTTTATCTGTTACAGCCTCTATGACTTGTATAAATGGAATACACATTCCATTAATTTGGAAAAGACATGACATCTGTTATCTGACTTACCATATGGTTGCATCTGGTCATCAAAGTAGAAGTTGGGAACGTTGCTTTATGGATGGGGTAGTTATTTACATGGCAAAAATGTCTATGTGTGCCCATGATAGCAGGGTTACACTTGGAATCATTTTTCAGACTGGGAGAAGCGCCCCTTACTGCCAAGTGGTTACGACTGGGAAGTGAGGCATGAGGCAACGCAGGCTTTTCTGACATGTGAGAAGTTCTAAGCCTAACAAAGCGTGTTGTTGGCTGAGAACTGAGGGGAGGTATGTGATGTGGTAGCTTCAGAAATCAGGTATATACCTCTAATCACTGGCATGCCTCAAATGTTGAAGTTCTGTTTGTGTAAGAAAATTTAAATCTGATAATGGTGCTGCTATGGAGCTCTTTTCTGGTTTTCTCATGCTTGTTTTGGATGGACTAAGGCTACTTATCATAAATTGTAGCTACTTCTGTAAAAAGCATTTACACTTAAAATGTAGAAGCTATCTTTTTTGTTGTTGTTGTTGTTTTTTTAATGATGCTATGTCCATAACTCTTTTTCTTTTCTTCTTTTTTTTTTTTTTTTCCAACCAATGTAACAGTCACATTTTCAGTGGTTTTTTAAGTTTTTATCATCTCTTTGGAAGGTGCCGAACATTCTAATCCAGAAGTGTGAACAAAACTGGTTAAGAATAAAAGTTATAAATCACCAGAACTCTAATAATTTTCCCCTTATGTATCAATGCCAGATAATACATTTGTTGGCATTAACACTTCCAGTGCTTCTAAATTTTCTATTTCTATTGGCCTTGCTGAGCACACAAACCTTGGAAGGCTGATGGATTGTGAGCTTCCAAAGTATTACAAAGTACCTTTCCAAACTCACGGAGAATTTTTAAGGGGGTAAAATCTCTTCCATTTTTTTCATTAAACTTTTATTTGCAAGAAAGGTGGTTCAACCTACAGAGGTACTGGTCAGATTGGGCACCTTTGCAGTGAGATTCACCTTGATGGTGAGCTTTGAAATCATTTCAACATAACATTGCCACAATTGTAAGAGCTTCAGAAAATAATTTTTTTCAACTGCCAGAATACTTTGAATGTTCTTTTTCTCATAGTTGGGAAAAATGGAAAAAAAATGACTCAGATGCATATGGGCTTATGAAGAGTCTGTTCTGTCTGTTCTGAATCTAATGAATGCACAAAATGTTAGTGAGTGCTGGTGTTTTTAATAATACCTGCTTTGGAATTAGGCAAGGCAAGATGCACTGAAATGGCACCATAGCCTTGGTACTGAGTTACTCTGAGCTGGTAAATATCTGCGTTCCACTGGAGATATTGACATTAGGATCTCAACTGCAACTGTGGAAACATTAATTGTAAGGCAAATTAAAATTTTTGTGTGGGTGTGGCAGCTGAATTTTAAATCTAATGAGTGCTTAATTTCTCTTGCCCTCACTACTATGACAGGCTCCTCTTGATCAAGTTAGTTACTAGTTTAAGTAGAATAAGTAAGGATAAAACCAAATGGCATTAATGACTCTGAGAGCTACTATATGATATGATGAAGTGATTCTCTTTAGACTGCTGGAGTGCTGTGTGCTCTAAACAGCTCAAGGAGATCTGTCCATAAGAAGTCTTCTGAAATAATCAGTGTTGTCAAATGCCCTTTGTGGCTGTTTTTTCCAATGTACTTTTAGAGCAGTGCTGAAGTATAATTGAAATCTCTTAAACTTCTTCAATTAGGAGATGTTATCTTTTTTTTTTTTTTTTTTTTTTTTTGTATATGGTTTTTTCATACGTATTTCTATGGTTTTTCATCCTATCTATAACAATCTATGAGTTTTATCTGTTATTTTTTTAGTTTTTAATACTTCCACTGCAAAGACTTCTTTATCCTCTTTCATTCTGTTTGCTGTTGTTGTTTTAAATTCTCTTTTTTTTTCCTCTAAGCATTGTTTTGCATCTGTTTCTAACCCAGTCTTCATCTCTTATGTGATGTCTTCACTCTTCTATTTGTTCTTTTGTAATAAAAAGAGGAACATAGGACTTGTTTGTATTTTCTTTATTAAACTCTGTATTTGATTTGAGTAATTCTGCACAAAGATTTTTGTGGTGTTTTAGGGAGGAGGGAAAAAGGGAAGGAGGAGAGATTGAGGCTTGAAGAAAGCATTAGGCAAAACTCAGGCAGGAATTGTTGTGATTTTGGCAGTGGTAATTATTTTTGAACTTTCTGAACTGCCTCAGAACATTATCACGTTACTGTGTGTGTCATTGTGAGAGACAGAAGGAGTTTATTTGCTCAAAATTCTTACATCTCCTCAGAGAAATGCTTTGGTATTACGTAATTGCTGTTGTTCTTTTGTGTGTTTTTCATAGCATCCTCCTGGACAGCTGAGAAGAAAATACAGTTCCTGCTCCACTATTTTCCTGGATGACAGCACAGTCAGTCAACCAAACCTCAAGTATACCATCAAATGGTGGGTTTGAGATATACGTTTGTGTGTGTATATTTACCTGAACCTTTGTTGTATATTGGATATATATACGCATTTCCTAGCTATTACCAGGCAAGTTTTGTAGAGTTGAGTTTTTGAAGCAGTAAGTTTGTTTAGTCATATCTTGCTTTAGAGGCAGCGAATAGGATGGGTGAAGGATACTACTCTGATGTTAGCTACGTGCAAAATCAAATTCTTAGTACTGTGTAACTCACAAGAGAGCAACAATTAAGGTTCTTGAATTCTAGCAGCTGAAATCCTTATGCTCAGCATTCAGTCGAGTACTTGCTTTGGATAAGTTCTCATAAGAAAACTTGTTCCTGATTTCATGTCATTCTGAAAACCTGAATAAACTTCTGAAACTGAAGGACTTTATTCTATTCCTGAGAAAATGCTAATTTTCTAAGTTTTCCTTCCAGTTTTCTGTTTGAAATGAAAATTAATTGATTCCTGATTCATTTCCTTATTCAGTACTGAGACACTGGCACTTGAGTGCACAGCAGTGAGGAGCTTTGTATGTGGTGTCCACGTGGACTTATCCTTGGGGACACGGCAGATGTTCATTTCAGGTTTTGATAATGCACTTGTCTATTTAGAGAAAAATTGTATTAATAATGTCTTAATTTTTACATATTGTACAGTAAGGATAAAAATCTGAGAATGGATATTCAGGCATTTTCTGCTGTTTAGGAGTATATTTGCTTGCAGATATATTCTAGACGTACTTGAGAACTAATGTACTCAAATGCTAAAGTTAATGAAGTCAAAATCTGTGCTATAAAGTTATTTACATGGGAGAGATATATTTAGCCTATCACATCCAAAGGAGCTTGTGCTGCTGGGGATCACTTTATTCAGATATTTGTCTAAAATAGTCTTGCATTTCCTCAATTTCCTCATGTTTTTTCTATAGATAGTAACTTAAAAATAATTGTGAAAAATCTTTTGGGGAGCTTTGGTATTCCCTTTCTTGCTTCTTGAGTTTCACAATTCTTTGCTGTAAATCCCTTTGAACAGGGATTGCTGTAAGTGCAGCCTTTCAGGGGAGTGAAGGGAAATGTAGCTTCAGGCCTCTTTCAGCAGAGGAACTCAGGCTATTAGTAGAAAGAAGAGGGTGCAGAGGGTTGCAGCAGCCAAGATGCAGTGCCAACAGCAGGGCTGTGAAAAGGCAGGCAGAAAACCAGGTCGTGTGTGCTGAGCTGGGGGCAAAGTGGTGGCATTTCAGGGCAGAGCTGTGCGGGACAGGGCAGGGAGGGAGGGAGCTGCCTCTGGGAGGTGGGGGGGCCTGGCTGCTGGCATGGGGAGGGCTGGGACGTGAACGGGGTCAGAAGGTTTGAAGAAGAGGTCGTGTGGGGTGAGGAACTGGACTCTGGCATATGAGCCCTTTGGAGGAGGAGTTTCTTTCTTCCTCATCTCCCCACGTGAGTGGCAGAGTTAAAGGCAGGGAGGTTGCAGGATTACGGCTTTTGTAGTACAGCATGATTTTCTGCGCCCCTCCTGGACATCACTGCCGATGAGTGACTATGCACATGAGTACATATGTAGGGATACGTTTTGGCTGGCTTTGTTTGGGGTCATGCTATGCATTGGTGGGTTTAAAATGTTAGTGTGTTACCTGGAGGTCTTCAGAATGAGTGGGCTGGCAGAATATGGTGATGGAAAGCTACATCAGCTGCTAGGTAAGGCACCCTGAATGCTAGCTGAACCAGTGCATGAAAAGCAAAATAAAACTTGGGTTTGAGTTAATCTATTACAGCTCTGAGAGACCTTCAGATTCTGGTATAGATTTCTGAAGAGTAAATATTTTCCTAAACTGAATTTGGCGTTTTGTTACAAAAGCAACAAAACGGGCAGCAAGCAGAGCTCGGCATGTATTTTATTGTGTCCACTTTCATAAAATCAACTGGAGCTGCAAGTTTGTCCCTGGGAGCATCATGTAAAATTAGATTTTAGGACTAAATAGTTTTCAGTCAAATTAAATTCATTCATAAATCTGATTTCTGTGTTCAGTGAGGATTGTGTCTTTCTTGAGTACATGGTAATTTTTAATTTCTCAAATATATGTATGTAAAAAAAATCAGTTGTTCTTTTAAGGGGCTTTCAGTAGGAAAGAGGGCAATTTTGCATCAGTGTAAGACAAGCAATTCACAATGAATTTGACAAAACAAATTATCCACATATAGAATCAGTGAACTCTCTCCCCATTCCTCGTTAGTTTTTGCTGGATTTTGCTTTGTTAGAGTAATTAGGGAGGCTGCTCTTTGTGCTAACTTTCTTTGAAACCATATCCTTAGTGAAGCAGATACCCTACAATAAAGCTCAAGGTACAAGTTGGAAATTGGAGAATAACTATGAGAGGCCAAGTCTTAGTTTTCTTCAGTCTCAAATGTGAATGCAATTAGTTGTATATATAAATAAAAACTTAACTTTCTGTCAGTATAAGGATACTTTCTGTTTTTGTGCAGAATACATGCAGAGGTATTTAGGTATATGATTGAGAGTATGGGAAATGCATAATGCAAGAAATTATTCAGGGAGTCTTCATTCACAAGTTGAAATGAGTAACTCGATGCCATTAAAAGTGTAGGAGCTCAGTATTTCAGTTTCCCATGTGAGTAACTACATAGAAGGAGCCAGAACTTAGTGCATTTATACATAAAGTCAATATAACAAAGCCAAACATTAGCCAATGGTAATGAACATTTTTCAAGGTAGACTTACGACATTATCATAGACTCATCAAGTGGTTTGGTTTGGAAGGAACCTTTAAGATCATCCAGTTCCATCCTCCCTTCTATTAGCAAGGACACCTCTTGCTGGACCAGGTTGCTCAAAGCCCCATCCTTATCAAACAATAAGAGTGAGTGCCCAATGCTGGGTTGCTCTTCCTTCAACCCTGGAAATAATAATCTTTTGCTTCAGAGTGGAGGTGTGCTTTAAATAGAGGTTGCGCGTGACTTGGTATATGGAGTCTGAGTATTTTGTAAGGTAGTGAAAATAGTGTAAGTAGTGAAAAGGAAGCACTTTGAGTGTGCTGGACAAATATTCTAAATCTATTTACTACTTTTTTTTCTGGCATCTAATAACAGACAGAAGAAATAAAGCATTTCATTTTTTTGTCATACATTCTGCTAGGTTTTTATTTTGCGTATAAACATCACGAATAATATATGAAATATTAACTCTATATTTTTCTTTACAGTGTAGCTCTTGCAATTTATTACCACATCAAAAACAGGTATGTGTACTTGTACTGAAGATCTCTAATCAAAAGAAATGAACTTCTGAAACCTGAAAACTCTGTGCTTTGTTTTTTCCTGGAAATGTTTTAGTGTAGTTTTTCTGTTATCTCCCATGTTAGAGAAGAGAAACATATTCTCCAATTTTGCTTAAAGGAATAAAAGCTAGAGGACTAGGCATCATTAAAATCTGCAAGTCCAGTTTGCATTCAAAACCTCTGATGATTCAGTATTTGATATTATATGTCCTGACCATTTCTTTGTTCATACATGTTGCAATTATGTTTAGAAGAAATCTTCATAATGTCTTTCAGGTTTATTTTTTTGGGCTGTGCCTTTGTAAAATTAACTGTGTAAGTCTTCAATCAGTTTAATAGATTTTAAAATACAAGCCATTCATTATACAGTAAGTGTGACAATGTCAATCAATATAACTCAGGATGCTGCAGAAGTAGAGCAGGTCCTGACTTATCTCTTCCAGTGCAGCATGTTTCAGATCTCTCCTCAAGTTGACTATTAAAACCGAATAGAAAACAGGTTCTCCAAAAAGGTAACTTGGTACATGAATTAACACTGTGCTTATTGAATTGCAGTTCTGTCTCCTAAATTCCATGTTGTCTTGATATAATAAGTCACCATATCATAATATCCTCTGATTTTTTTAAGAGATTTGTATGAATACTTCCAGTGACTTTTGTGTATGTGGCTTTGCAGCGTGTCTTCTCAGTGATCTTGGCTTAGATCTCAACAAACCGACTTACAAGTTTTTCTTCAGGGCTGTGAGAAGTTCAACTAGAGCAAAGGGAATTAGTCCTAATTTTAAAATTAAGCTGGTGCGCCATTTGGGACTGTGTTTGAGGTCCCTGGCCACACTGCATTTCTTGAAACAAAGCTGGTGTCTCAGAAAAGAAACCTTTAGAATTGCACAAAGTAAGAAAGGTTTAGGGCCCTGCTGAAAGCTCTTGGAAGACTTTCCAAGATCTCGGTGAGCCTTGGACTGAAATATAGCAATCTGTAAAGCAGAAGTTGAAATGAAATATTTTTTCCTTTTAATCTAATTTCCTAGGAAATTAAGCATTAATGATTGTGCTTGGTTTACTTGTTCATCCATCTGTGCTTCCCTCTTTCCCTTTCCTTCCAACATCTCTGGGTTGGTTCAGCCGGCTCATCAGTTTTATGTATGCTTGACTGACTGACAGAGATCCCAGAGTTAATCAGGTTCTAAAGTTTTGGGGAACAGTATTGTAAGTGCTCTGTTAAGTGCTGTGCCAACTCAGTAAAAAGCTCAGCAGAAAGGGGCACGATAGAGACTGCATGTGGGTGAGAAACTTCAGCAAGAGCTCACTGTCAGTCAGGAGGAAATCCAGAGCCCAAGGAAGCCAGGCCCGCTTCCTTCTGATTTCTGACTCTAGTAAAATATGCACATTCATAGTCTTATCACAGAACCTGATGCAAGTTTGACCTGCAGCAGTTAGGCAGAGAGGGCAGATGTGAATAACAGAGAGGATCATATGTTCGTGACACGAAAACAGATGTGTTCTGATTGTTATTTTCTTTGAAAACTTGCTGTCTGTCTTTTCACTTTTGGGAAGGGGAATTTATTCAGCAGGAACCGGTGGCTGCTTCTCACCTGAAGGTCCTAGGTGCAGTGATGGGATATTTTGTAAGCAGTGACACAGTGACCCTGCAGCAGGTGCTTGTACGTCAATTAATGACTGAAATGAAGGTTGTAAAACAACTGTTCTGTCATCTCTCATTTAGGAATGGAGAGAACAAGGTGATAACAGGATGATAACAGCACTCGTTTGTGTATGCTGCTGAAACAGCAATAGCAAAACATATGTTCTGTTTCCTGCCATTATAGGCCAAAGGAAGTTGTTGACGTATGTGGTAGATTTGAGTTCGTTATGTCTGGGGAGCAGTGAAACCACTGCAGCCCTAGAGTAGGCTTAAAGTTCATTGTGACAGAAAACAAATGGAGCACCTGCTTTGCCAGAGACAAATTATTTTCAGATAACAATTATCTGTTTCTCCTGTATGCTAAGCAGAAAACAATTTTTTTTAGTATTGTAAACTGTCACCAAGCCCAGATGCAAATTTTCAGAGAAACTATACATGTGTGTCATATCTTCTCCACATTTTGATTGTGACATTCTAGTTAGCATTCCTGCTTTTCCCATTGTCTCCTATCACTGTTACACTGATTGACTTTTTCCAGCTTTTTTCACACTACCCTCCAGCTGGTGGGGGCTATACATAGCTTGCTTTTGGAAGAATTTGCTAAATAAATAAGTAAATAAGCAAAATAGGATCCAGCAAACTAGCAGTAAAAAAAAGTTTAGATCAGTTAGTTAGTAGATAATTCCTTTTTGAAAGGTAAAATGAATTTCTTCTGGTGAATAAGGTGCAAAACCACTTTTTGGTGTGATAGGTTTTTGTTATGACAATCCAAGGTGCCTCCTCAGTGTGCAGCACCTGCACGTGAAAAAACGAAATATGTTTTTTTCTGTCTTCTCACAGTGAAGAGCCATAGCATGCTATAGCACAGCATGGATTCCAGAGGGACTGCTGCTGCATTAGGGGACTTGCACTTTCACGTAGGGGTAAAAGAGTCTGCCCTAACATCCTTGCTGATTAGGAATTTTGAACTAATTATCTCAGTCTGCTTGCTGGTTTAAAGTTAACTACTCCTTTTTAAAAGAACATTGCTGATTTTCAGCGTGAACAGGCTTTAGAGTAGAAATGATAATGGTGTTCAGATGCTGAACTTCAAGTCTGTTATCCACCAATGAGTACATTTCGTAGACATGAATGTGTTTGTAATACTCATGTTTGTGTGCTCTGTGATTTATGTGCTGGTGATAAAGACAAAAAACGTATTCAGAGATTTCTCTCTGAAGACTTCTGTGACCAGAGGATGCAATAAATAAAGATGGTATTGTGTTAAGAAAGTCACATGCATCTGTCCAGAAAGTGTCCAGTTCTAACTGGCACTGTCACACCACTCGCTTTTGAGATTGTTAGCATTCCTGCTGAGGTTACACACAGCAGAAATTTTAAATTGCTTTCTGGATGCTAGAGGGGAAGTTGCATCCACTTTCATGTTGACCTTGAACAACACAGATCTGAGAGAAATTGTGAATTAAGTCAAGGAATACAAGTGTTATTTTGATAATTTTTTTTAAAATATTTTTTTGTATGCTTTCTGCTTTCAAAAATCATTAATAGCATAAGGTCTTCTAAAGAAAGGAAATTGAAGTACATTTATTAAAGAAGGTCTGAGTGTAAAAATAGTGTCGCATATTTGCTAATGTTTGTGGCCTTGGCAATAAAGGAGGAGGAGAAATTAATTAAAAGAAGAGATCTGGTGAGGATCAACAGGATGAAGTCAAGAAAGGAAGAGGAAGCTGAGTTAATTTCATTATGTTAGAAGTTTATCGTAGCACATCCTTGTGCTGTGAAAAAAGCCTATAATAGAGAGTGCAAAGGCTTTTTATATTTTGGGTGTTGAAAATTCTTAGTTACTTTATAATGTGGATTTCATATTACATGTGAGCTTTATGATGGAGTGTGTCCAAAGTCACATTTCTGCAGCATTTCTAAGTACCTCACAGCATAGGTAGCATTGGAGCTTTAATGATACACTTGCATCTGTGAGAGCTGTGTGTTTTTGTGTTCTGATAATAACACTACTTTGGTTTTAATACTTTTTAGGGATACAGATGGAAGAATGCTCTTAGATATTTTTGATGAAAACCTTCATCCCCTTTCGGTGAGTTCATTGCTCTCTTTTCCCTTTTCGTGTGAACTGCCTCTCTCTCTGCTTCGTTTTGTTTCCGTCACTTACTTGGAAGTATTTCTTCCTTAGAAATCCGAAGTGCCACCAGATTATGACAAACACGATCCAGAGCAGAAACAGATTTACCGCTTCGTTCGGACGTTGTTCAGTGCTGCTCAACTGACTGCTGAATGTGCCATTGTCACCCTGGTGAGTGTCTGTGAGGTGACATCAGCTATCTAACAGACTCAGTTTTGTTCCCAAAGCTTCCTTTGCATGATTTAATAGATGTAGGTGTTGCCAGGGGAATTTTTCTCACCATGGAGACCAAAGGAATTTCTTGATGGGAAGAGATACTGCAGTTTATTTTCTTGGGGAGGGTAACTGATCAAAGAAAAGGTTGGATAACATGTGACACAAAAGCTGGGACTTCATCTTGCCTTCACAGAGCTATAGCATTACAGGCCACCAGTGACTAATGGAAAGCACAGGTGGCAAAAGCAGTCGGGACAGAAGGGAATGTTAAAAGCAGAAATCCTTCCACTTTGGGGGGTTTGTTGTGTATTGCTGTAATTCCCAACAGAGAGTCAGGGAACAGCTGTAGGTAATCTAATAGCACTAGTAAGAATTGGTGAACGGACGAAGGATTTGGTCAGTGACTGAAACATTAGTGATGGCTCCTTTTTTACTTTCACTGTACTTGTCTTTCAGGACTGCATCATAGAATGGAACAATTGTGCTCAGGGCTAAAGTGTAGCTACTTAAAAATAGCGCAATACACAAAAGGCTCAGATTTTCAGCTGGTGTGGATCAGCATAGCTATGTGGATTAAAGGAGCTGAAGTGATCTCCACCAGCTGAGAATTTCTTCGTTTTCCTGAAATTTATATCCTGTCAAATCTCTTCAGCTTTCAGGCACAGTTTTGGCCACGTCCTTGAGTCAGAAATACTGCAATGTGTAGTCTTCTAACAGCTTTTTGTGCACTTTGGATAGTATAATGGGAAATTGGAGAATGTGGATTTTGAAAGCAAGACCTGCTCCTTTTCTCTGTTAATCTTAGAAGCCAGGAGCATGAAATTTAGTTGTCAGGATTTTCTCCTTTAGACAGTCAAAATGAGGAGAAACAGGAATCTGAGGGAAACAGGGCAAGAAACACCCCACAGTGCTCCACCCTTACATTTTGGAGTATTACTCTACCTCGTTAGTTGACCTAGCCATTACTTGTTTTCTGAAATGACAGTTTTTCTCTTTTACATAATTGCACAAAGTGCTTGTCCTTCTTTTTCCTCCTGAGCATTTTCTGCTGGAGGCAAGATGTGTTCTGTGAATCACTATGTTCTTGTATAATTTAATTATTCTACTGTCAAATACAGTGAAACCTTGCTGTAGTTATCTGTTATTTGATCTTAGGTTACTTGATCAATGAGGGCACTCTTTAGTAGAAAGGAAGAAGGCTTTTTTTAAAAAATAACAGTATCTTCCTGTCTTTGCAATACATGGAAAATTCTCAGCCACAAATCTTTACCCATGCGCGTGTTTGAGTACCTTTCATTTGCAAGTAGTTCCTTGCCTCTTCTGTTTCTCATGTGGCTTCCTTGTGAGTTACAGCTTTTGCTGTGATCTACAATTCGATACAAATGTTTTTAACTTTTGTCATACTGCAGTTCCTGTAGTTGTTAGCAATTCAAACTTCAGCTGGCTTGTGTTTTTTACCCAACACTGATACCAGGTGTGTTGTTTTATAATGTGATTCTCAAAGTGGCCATGCAAGATGTTGGCAGGTAATTTGGTGTAGGTGATCAACATTACTGTTCTGCTATTATTACCCATGTTTTCAAGATAGTAGTACCTGCCTGACCCCTTTTTCCAGAAAGTCAGAGAATTTTGCAAGTATGAAATTTTGTTCTTGTTCTGTTTCCTCTGTTCTTTTAGATCCCATTCCTTTATTTATTATTGTCATTAGAAAGGGCCCTAGAGACAGATCATACTGTTTCTGAAATGTTCAAATGTATAAATTAGTTGTCTAGAAAACAATCAACCCCCTCTTCCCCGTAGCATTTCTGATATCTGAATAGTGTTGATAGCCCTATTTATGAATCCTCCAAATGTTATCAATTTTGATGTCCTGACTGGAGAAGGAAGGAGCAGCACTCACTTCTGAAGCCTATGTTTTGCCATAGTCTGGTCATGCGTTAGAGGGCAGTATGATACCCCGTCTGCCACTTGTTCCTTGGGGGAGAGCTGCCAGAAGGTAGGAAGTATATCTGTGGAGATCACAATACATTCTGAAATAGATGCTACAGCTATTCTGTTTCATTCTAATTATTTTTAAGCCGTCCTAACCTCCATTTTTTTTTACTACCTAGACTACCTAAATTATTAGCGTAGACTAAGAAGTGTAGTTGGATGCACTTGTTGTCATCTTGTATGCCATTAGCCAGGCAGAAGGAGCAGTTAGAGCTGTTGTGTAGCAGTCTGTATGCAGCACAGGAGCAGGGTAAATGTGATTCTCCAGACTATTAGATAAGCTACTCTCCAGCAAAAAAAAGTCAGCATCATATTGCTTTAAGCACTTAATTAAAATATTTCAATTAAAGCCTTGCTGTTACAGCAAAGCCAATTTATAATTAAACAAAAGATTTAATTTTCACACAGCCTCCAGGGCTGCCAAGAGGTTTCCCATATTGGTAGGTGAAAAATTAAAATCTCAGGTTGAAACAATTAAATATGCACATAATTTATTTATAAAATAATAACTTAAGAATAATATTAGTTTAATGATTACTTCTGTTGCTGATTTTTGTCTTGTAAGAAAAGGATTTGTCGCAGTGAACAGCTGAACTGAACTCTGTGACCTGACTTAGGGAGAAAACCAGTGCTTCTACCCTGATGCAGAGTATTCCCCTCCTTGCTAAAACTGAGAAATGCCTCATCTGCAGTATCTCCTTGCACTTACACTAGTGGATTAATTGGATAACAAATAAAACTGTGAATAGTAATGTTATCCGTAACAGCATGAAAACAATGCAGTGTTATGTGACAAGAGAATTGAATATTTGCTCTCTGCTGTTCTGTTCTGTGAAAACAATACAATTTAATTAGCTAGACCTGAAGAGAATGGTCCGAGTTTTCTGCTTTGTCTTTATGTGACTGTGAGTTTTGTGCAAGTAGGCCAAGTCTAAGTCACCAGAGAACTTCAGTATGCTTAACAGTTTCAGAGAAGTTACGTTTTGCATCGGCAAATACTCTATAGACTCAGCTTATATATGATGATATCTAAATTCATATAGTACGTGATCTGAATTACTTTTGCCAAGTTCAGAGAAGAGTGTTTTGAAATATACTGCAGAGTTCAAACTGTGACTGAAGGGATTTGATGTTGGGAAATTTGAAAATTGAAGTACGTAACATTAAACTCTCCTTATGAAAAACCGGGATTTAATTAATCCAGCCAGATGTTCCTGGCTCTTATTGTACTCTCCAGTCATGTTTTTAGCAACTACAGAGAGAATATTTTTGAACTAATATTGTTAAACTATGTGATGAAAATTGTAGTATTTGAGGATAATTTTCTTTTCTGTTTATTTGGAGGGAAGGAGGAAGGCCTTAATGGTTTCCTTTCTCTGGATTGTTTTTGTCTTTAAGTGCTGATAAAGTATCATTTTTGCATGTTTTATTTAATGAAGAAAGAATGAGTTTCTGGTTTAAAGAAAACAAAAGAGTAAAAGAATGTTATTAGAGGCTTTAGGGATACTTAATTTGTAGCAGAGGTCCTTTTCAACTGGCCCAGCTTAGCTGCACTCTACATGCAGCTCATGGGAGATGCACATTCCTCTGCAGACCTCAGAGTACTACAGGCAGTACTGTTTACTGCCGGGTTTGAAGGCTTTTTCTCTCCTTCAGTAACAGTGACCAGGCTGGGCTCCACCTTGTTTAAGAAACGTGAGGACAGTTGTGTGCATCTGTTATTTCTGGTTACCACCTTTTTAATTCTCCAACAGAAAACGACATTAATGTCAAAGAATGAATACTGATCCCAGTTTTAGGCTGGCCAGTTAATCTTGCCTAATAGTATGAGTGTATTTTACATGCATTACAGATGTTTGTTTTAAAATGAGTAAAGTAGGAGGCGAACCTGGAGATGTGTGATTTTGCTCTCAGTTCCATTAGTGCTTCCTATAAATATCTTCAATGCTACTTTTCAATTACTTGCATTTTCAGAGTTTTATGACTGTGTACATCATTGTGTTTCAACATTTGGTCTCAAAAATGAATTGGATGAAATTGCAAGGATGATGATGATGTGATGTCTTTTTCCACCAAATAGATGGAATCAGATCTTTATAGAACATTTTAAATGCCCAGCTGGGCAATTGAAAGCACAGTTATTTCTGGAGAGTCATGTTAGGGAACTGTAGAACATATGGCAATTTAGTGATTGGATTTAGAACCGTAATTTGACTGTATGGGATCCATCACCAATTACGATTTTTTTCATATACGTTTATTTTTAGTTTCAAGGCATTGTGACATTCTGAAGTTTTCTCATTAAAAAGACATGGCTGTGTATTTACTTTTACTTTTTAATGATGTTTTGGTATGGAAAATGTCTTAATTTAGTTATTCTTTGCTTCTGCGACTAATAATGTGAGTTACCTAGTGAGGTCATTATCAAGTTTAAATGAGAAAGTGAGGAAACCGGGTTGTTGCAAATAAACTTTAATTTTTGGGTTCTCAATTATGGAAGTTAAAATACCAGAAACATCATTTTCTGTCTGTCAGTGTGAATCTGCTGAGTTTTGATTAAAGCTGCTAGAGTTTTATTGGTAAAATAGAGTTTGACATAAAGTGATACCAGAAAAAAGTGTGAGAAAAGGTCATAGTGTACTCTTGCTGCTGTCTCAAAATTCTGAATTCTTCCACAAACACTAGCGACATTCTTTGGTGATTGCCAAGACTCATACTTGAAGAGAACATGCATCTTGGACCTCTGTGTTACACCATAGGAAACTCCAGTATTTCAGACAGACAATCACAGAACAATTTAGGTTGGAAGGAGCTCTTGAGGTCGCATCCAGCATCTGCTCTGAGCTTGGCCAGTTGAATGAGGTTACTTAAGGACTGCCCAGCTGAGTGCTGAATTTCTCTGAAGATAGAAATCACACAACCTCCACAAAAAACCTATTCCATTGTTTTATGAAGTGTTTTAAAAAAAAAAAAAAAAAAAAAAAAAAAAAGAATTAAGAGAATTACAGGATTTGGGGTCCTTAAACTGCAACTCCAGTGTGGGAATTTCAGTGGGATATTGGAGGTTGATGTTAAGCAGTTCCAAAATTAAGTAACAAAGAAAAACAAAACTTTGGAAAGTATCCCATACTAAGATTTTATTAAAACTTGCATGCTTCTCTGGATTATGAAATATTGAAATGAAATGATTTGACACTTTCATTTTTTGGTATATATCCTCCTGAATGGGAAAGAAAAAGATGTACACCTCCTCAAGTATTTTAACTTCCTAATTGAGAGTGTGGTGTAATACACAAAATATGATGTAATGTCCTCTGAGATGGAAAAAATGAAATGCTGCTTCACCCTAAAACTGATCTCCTCAGTGCAGTCTTTACTTTTTAGTTTCTTCAAATGAGTTTACATGCTGTTAGTTGGCAAGCCGTGTAACCAGTTGTCTGGTATCCAGAATCACAGGAAGGGGGGACATCCCACATACCTGGAACAGGTTGCATTCTGAGATTCTGTTACTATGGAGAAGACCAGATTGGATTCACCCAGCTGCATATAATTGCCCCAGGGATTAGGTGTGGCTCAGCAGTGGTCCTGCTGGAGCCGTATCAGTGCTGCAGTGTGGATGCCCTTGCTAGTCTGGTTAGCCTTGTGCCATTCTGCAGTTCTGTTTCTAGAAAAAAAAAGCCTCCAGGCCTACTGTTGATAATGTATGGCTAAATGGTTGTCTACCATGCTATTCTATGTCCAAATCTTGGGAATTAAGATCAAAGGCATCCAGACTAGCTTAGCATGGAGTAATTTCAGGTCCAGAAGATTAATTAGCTCAACATATTTGCAGAAACACATCAAATCTGTACCTCTTCTGAACCTGAAATGGTTTTGGAAGCCGTTTAATTACATGCCTGTGGTGCTGCATCTAAGCTAATGAACCTCTCCAGACTCTGAGCCAATTTGGGAATATCTATACCTGCAGAGTGGTAATTATATTTAATTAGGAGAAATAAATTCTCATTAATTCAGATAAATGAATTCGTAACAAAGGCAAATTGTCTAATTGATTTCACTCATGATTAAATGATCATTTGCTGACATTACAAGTTTAAAGGTCGATCATTGTAAAAATTAATTATTAAAAAATAAGAATTAAAAGAGTGCTCTTCTGAAGTCTTAACTCTATACAGGTTATCTTCTGAAATGTGCATGAGTTATTATGATGTCTCTAGTGAGGTGCAAGTGCTGTCCATGGAAAGCTGTTGAGGGCTCACAATTGCATGTAATGTATGGTTTATTCCAAATACAGTGAACTTATAATGGAGGCATCATACTGTTGGGTACTGAGTTTTTAATGGTAATGTATCGGTGGGCCACTGCCCATTGGTATTTTCCAGGTCAGAACTGCACTTTCATTTCAACTAGGAAATTAAATATGTGACAATTGAGTATTGAAGTTTTTAGTGTTGTTGGTGTTCTTTGCGAGCTGAGAAAATTCAGAACAATATGTTAGTTGACTGGAACCAGTGAGAGTTTCTCTTTGTGTCACATCAGTAAACTTAATCATTTAAATAGTGCTGTTATCGCTCTGTAAAAATCTGAGAACATGCAGTCACAGAAGTTAGTGAATGATGACACGTGCTGTGAAAATTGGTCTTGGAAGCTATTAAACTGTTTGAGGAGAACTAGAGGTTGGATTAAGGCAGAATTAATCTGTCATATTTTTTGAATTTAGCTTTCAGATATTTAGAAGTACTCACCAAAGCTCACTTTGAGAAGAAGCACTGCAAAGGATGAATTGTACAGAAAAGTGACAGCTTTAAGGTTTAAAAACAGTTTGAAGGTTTAGATGCACTCCTAAGCATGAATCCAACTGTTAAAAGTGTGAAGGCAAATCATGGATTTTTTAAAAATATATTTATTCTTGATTCTCAAATCTCTATTTATTATTAGTTCTCTTCAGAAGTACTTGCTGAAATAATCTAGAGATGAAATGAGGCTTTTGAACTCTTAAGTAGAAGTTTCTTTCATTGCCTTCTGAGCCTTTTGATATTTCAGCATATATGTAAATTTCTACCACCATCCTGAGACAGGACTTACAATGTTCTTTTCCACAATGGGCTTTTAAAATTCAGCTTTGTTGTGTGACCTGATAGCAGCAGGTCCTAAAGAAAATCTAGAAAGTCTTTTGCTTTTGAAAATTGAGTGAAATTCATCACAAGACACAAATACATATTAAAGCATGAAGTAAACACAGAATCCCGTGTCTGTGGTTCACACCCCATGTTTAAGAAAATGAGCCCCTGTGTTTAAGATGTTAATGTGTGGACTTAATTGCATAACTAAGGTGAATGCAAGCGGCGTTTCCATGTATCACACTTAGCATTACAGGACCAACGTTTCCAGAGATTTTTATTTTTTTTTTATACTTGCCATGGAGCGTACCTGCCTGCACACAGGAAGACTCGCTTGCTTCTGTCAGCAAAGCAGGTGGTCTCTCCCACCAGCCACACATTTGTTTGGGATGAGCAGCAGAGTGACTGATCGCCCACCAGCATTCTTCAAATGGGCTGAGAGCCACCTGGCCATTCTCCAAAAGTCTGTATTGATTCAGCACATCTTTGCAGCAGCCAGAAGGAGCAGTCCTGAATTAATGCAGGATACTGAGCACACAGCAGGCCCTTCTTTCTCCGTTTTACCTATCAAGGTCAAAATCATGGTGTTCACGCTGCTCCTGTGGCCTGGACCAGGTATACTGAAATGCTCTGAGATAAAAACAAGGGTTGGCTGTTCCCTTTGTCATGGTGAGCTGGTGTGTGTAGGAAAGAGAGCTTGCCTGTGCCTTTACTGCTTTCACAAAGGTACCCTACCTGAGTAGGGCAAAAGCCCAGGTATGTTCCATCCTTTCCTTTGCCTGTGGTTCACTGTCTGCAGAGCCATCTGCTTCCCTCTGACCTGCAACTAGAGCAGTGGGCTGTAAGGAGGACAGTGGCTGTACCTGAGGGATTTGAGTGAAAGTTGAAGAATTAAACTATTAGGGTAGCATAGGCATCTTTGGAGACTAGTCCTACCTTGTGCTGAATTGTCACACTATCTGAGAACTTCAGTAAACTTCTGCAAGCATTTGCTGCAAGATAAGCTTGAAAGGTGAAATTTAAGCAGCTTGCATTTACAGTAAGGGGTCAATTTCAACATTGCTGTAAAGCAAAAGAAGTTAATCTTCATTGCCCTACTTTGAGCGGCAAGATACCGCAACACTTCCTACTTATGAAGCTCCCTGTGTTGGTAGTGTGTATTGCTTTATACAAGCATTCCACTTAACTGGGACAATTCCAGGAATTGTTAGCTCATAATTCAAGGTGCAGTTTTGCTTGCTAAGTTGAACAAGTATGTTTGTATTAATAGCAGGGGGTTTACACAGGCTGCCTAAGAAGCAAAAGGCAGCCTTTGGAACAGGCCCATGAAGTTGTTGAACTCTGCTGAGAAGCATTTGCTGCCTTTTTACTGAGCTTTGAATTTCTGTGGTTTTTATACACATTTTTGGAGCACTCCTTGGAGAAGTGAGTCTTCTGAGTCTCCAGTGCTGTTCTCACCTCACACACTCACGTACATTTCTCTGAGTTTCTGTCTTGAATCCTTGTGTTGGAGTGACCATTTGTTTATTTCTTGGGACTTGGATGATCTTGCTGGTCTGCTTAGTGATATTTTGCACAGGATTGCTAGAGGGACCTGCATGACATGATACCATATCTGATAACTGTTTGGGAATTAGAGCCAGGGTTGTTTATATGATAGCTAATAACTACAACTGGTAACATACATGTGCCTTCCACATTAGGTGTTAACATTTTATTTGTTTATGTTATTATTTTAATAATTTATTTAAACTATAATTTGAATTTATTCAGACATCCAAATATGTTAGCAAGAGTTACAGACAGAAAAATAACAGATCTGTTTCTGGTATTATGGTCAGAAAGCAGAGGTCAACTATAAAATGTATTTATCATATTCAAGTCTTGAGCTTGGCATAAATGTATCTGTTAAACCTACAGCTTTTATAAAAGAACTGTCTTGAGACCAGATACTGTTTTGAAATTGCTGTAGTGGGTTTATTAGAATAGTTTTCTTAATCTTTTTTGCTTTTAAGTAGAAATGGAAGCATCTTGATTTTAATGTGTTTCCACAGGTATATCTTGAAAGACTTCTAACTTACGCAGAAATAGATATTTGTCCAGCAAACTGGAAGCGAATTGTGCTGGGTGCTATTCTGCTGGCATCCAAGGTTTGGGACGACCAAGCGGTGTGGAATGTGGATTACTGCCAGATCCTGAAAGATATCACAGTTGAAGACATGTGAGTCCAATGTGTTTATCATGTCCATAGTCTGTGTGTATAAGGGGGGAGAGGAAGTTATCTTGTAAGTTATATAAAGGTTGTGTGTCTGCATTGTATCTAAACGAGGTAGATGCTGATATAAGTGGCACAAGATCTGCTGGAGAGTTGCTTGCATAGAAAACATGAACTGTTTTGTTGTTGTTTGTGTTAAACTGTATTTTACTGCTGGATGTTTGCTCACAGTGAACTTGCAGAATATTGAAATCTATGACTTGAACAACAAAAAAGAAAAAGGCAGATGAACCTGCTTGTCTTGAGTTTAGCAGCTTTTACAGTAATGTTAGTCCTCTGCACAGCAGATCAATGTGTAAGACAAGAAAAAGATTTGTTCCGATCCTAAAATCCTGTAGATGGGCACCCACTTACAGCTGCTATTACTCAACCTTGAAATGATCACTCACATATATCTGCCATTATTCAAATACTCTTTTTTCCATATCCTGCTCAATTTGTTTGCAAGATTTATATATATATATATATATATATATATATATATTTTAATTGCAAAGAGAAAATTCATTCTGGTAACTTTTCCTTTTTTTTTACACAATGGCGTTCTTAAGAAATGTATTGTAATGGCACATACAGAGTTACAGTATTGCCTAGATACTTTCATTACTTGTTATTTTAAGAGTATACTGCAACAGTAATAAAAGGAACTGTGATAAGAATAAATACAATTAAAATCGTAATGTTTACAAATACTAAAATGAATGCTTATCCCATTCAATTATCGAGTACTTGTGGTCGGTTGGTTAGTAGGCATTACATACATTTGCTGAAGTGCCCGAATTTCAGGGCTGAGTCACATACCATGCACCAGCTCACAAGTGCCCTTATCTGAGTTAATGAGAGTGCTTCTAGAGTGGCAGAAGCTGGAATCATGGTGCTGGAATCATAATGGTGTGGCCAGATTCCTAAACAGGCCACAGAGTAGTGCCTTCAGAGAGTGATGGTTTGAAGCTACACCTGCACTCCATTTTCATAAGGACTAGTGACAGTAGAATGATGGAAGAGATGGTTTTAGTACAGTACCTCTGTGTTTCTAAGCTCTTTTAAACAGGGAGAGGTATTTCTAATAAAAAATATGTAGACCTGTTTCTACTTTAACTCAGTTATGTCATAATTCTAGTCACTGAAAAGCATTTACTGTGGCTAAGTACTATTTACGTTTATTTATATTTCTGTTTGCTTTGTATTTATGTTTCGGCACACACAATTAAGTGAAAAGAAGGGGGAAGTAAACAGGAAAAAATGTTTATGTAGACACTGTGGTTTTTGAATCTCAGTTTACAATCTCAATGCAGTGAAGATGAACCGTTTCTGCTACAGCTGCTCTAAATCAAAGCTACTAAGAAACTACTTTATGGCTAGTCTGAAAATGATCTGCAAAGAATAGGTTGAAATTTGGAAGACAGCTGACTGCTTAAAATGCAGCATGCTGATGCACTTCTAGATAAGGCTCTTACAAACTGTAAGTAGCTCTCATTTCTTGAATATTGGAAAAGTTATTTCTAGATTTGTACTAGCAAGTAGTTTATAACAAGATCTTTACTTCCTGCACAGGAGTAAAAAACATAAACCCTTCATTGCTATGGTGTGCTGTAAATAACCCTCATTATTTTTGGGAAAACCATAATTTCAAATCAGAAATCAGAAATGTACATAATACCATTTCAATTTCTGTTGCATACAGAACAATTTGGTAATGCTTTCTTATCTATTTTGCATGCTCTCCAAATAAGGTTCTTTCTCCATTAACTTCTCCTTCAGTGCAAATCTGAGCACTTTTACAGTGTGTTTGAAGCTGAAATATTGGGTAAGGTAGAGCTCTGAATAGCTTTAAGCAAAAGGTTGAAGCAAACACTGGCAGGTTTGAGTATGCCATGTGACAGTATTAATCAAGTATGGTTATAAATACAAGCTTTGAAATTGCTCATTCTCAGGGCTTTTTTTGAAGGCAGGTTAAGGGGCATACTGAGATGATATGAGAGGAAGTAAACAAAAGGGAGGAGATTCTTGCTTTTGACAAACACACGTGGTGGTGCTGCTGTTAGAAATTGCACTTCAGCGATATAAAAACATGACTCCAGAGACAAACCTGTGCTCATGTGCTGTCACCAGTCTTCTTTCTGTGCTTCATTCTTGCTAAGCAGGCCAGTGATGAGTCCTTGTCATCAAAGTGAGAAATATACAATCTTTAAAACAATGTATAGAGCCAGCAGCCTTCAGGGAGCCTATGCTCTCTGCATGGTACTTGATGGTCTGTTTTGTGAGCTTTGTGTTTGGAGCTCCTCGTGAATGCTTCAGTGAAGAGTTAGGTGCTTGTTGATGTGCTGATGTTTCTCTTCCTACTTCCGGTTCTTCCAAACATTTTCTTCCTCCTCTATCTAATGTGATGATGATCACTTTTTTTTTTCCTTTCTTTGGGCAACTGGGACAATCCAGTGTTAAAAGTTTTCGTATGATTTGGTCTATACCAAATGAGGGCTTTCATTATTTATATTCATAAGGCAAGGAAAACTCTACACCTTAATCATCAACTACTGTGAATCATTAAGCATGAACGTATCTTATAAAACATCATACATAATTTTCAGAATTTTAAGAATCATCAACAGTACATTAAGCTGTAACTAAAGGCTAACTTGAGAGACAGTATTTGTCCATAGTTGTGTGTATAGCATTGCCTTGAAAGTGAAGATGACGAAAGAAAATTATTGTAATGTGTAATGACCTTCAGTAGCAAGTAAGAAAAAAAAATGGTTCAGTGTTGAAAACTACTGTATCACTGTTCTTTCTTCTTGACTTTCCTTATGCACATACAGTGCAGTCAACCTGTAACTTGAATGCAGTACCACAGTCAGTCAGTACCTGCTGGTAACAAACCTATGCAGTCCAAACTCTTCTGCAAAATTTACTGTTCGTTATTTGTTTCTTGCATCTTGAGATCACTATTTTAACTATATCAAATGTCCCAATGTATGTATTGTGAAGGATATTAAGTTACCATACATTTCACAAAAGCTACGGAATTGACCTGTTTTGTTTGTTTGTTTGTTTTTTAATTTATTTACTTGCTTATTAACACACTTTTTATTATACTGCAATGGATAATAATGTATTGATGCAACAGAGTTTTCATGGAGCTCAGAGAGGCCTGTTCCTATCCATTCTTTTGAAAAGCACTTTTTTTTTTTTGAGGTACCAAAGGTGAATTTTTCTTGCAAGTCTTAGGGAAAACTTGCTGTGTGCTGCTCATAAGCCCAGACAAATGGTATGCTGAAGAAATCAGATTTCCCGTGTCTTGTTTTAAGTGATTTATTATGAAAGCCAAGAGAGAATAAACAAGTTGTTCAGTCATTTGTACATTAGGATAATTTGCAACATCTCTGACAGCTGTCTGACAAATTTAGGACATGTCTGTATTTTGTGTTGGCATAGCTGTGTGAGCAGATCCACCTAGTGGAGGTACTGCAGAAGCTACAAGAACTTTATTTTCCTGGCTTTACCCTTTTCCCTTTTGTGCTAGCTTAACTAAAGGATCTCTTCTGCTGGCATCAATTTGGGTTTGGGTTTGACTGGCACAGCAGCAGTAGCTGCAGGTGCAGCAACTTTAATATTCCTCACCGAAGCATGTATGCTTATAGAACTTGGTAGACTAGTTCAAAATTTAAGCTAGGATAATTGCATCTGTCAAGAATATGAAATGAACTTGGTTACTGTAATTTGCAATTTAAAGCAAATTACATTCAGGATGCACAGTCTGAAAAATGTTTTCACATTTATCATCTCTCTACAGGAATGAGCTGGAACGCCAGTTTCTGGAGCTGTTGCAGTTCAATATTAATGTTCCCTCCAGTGTTTATGCCAAGTATTATTTTGATTTGCGCTCCTTGGCAGAAGCAAATAACCTGAGTTTTCCTTTGGAGCCCCTCAGCAGGGATAGGGCATGTAAACTTGAGGTAAGGCAATTTGTTTTTCTGTTGCCCACAACTGAATATATACGGTCATTTGGAATTTTTGGAGTGTTTCTCCCTTCCCAACCCATCTCTTACCAAATATTCCCATATCGTGTTAGAATGTGCCCAATATCCATAATTCTTTTTATTTTTTTCTTTCCATTTCTTTCCATTCTAATTGTCTACATTGACCCTGTGAAAAAAACCACAATTTTTACAGTAACTCTACTCACAGTTTGGTTCTGTTTATTCTTAAGATTGACTGTGCAGGACACAGTATTAAAAAGTTTTGCTAAAAATCAGTGTTCTTTGTGCTTGTTACCTGCTACTGCTGCATTTTACGTGAATCCAAGTCTGTTGTCTCAGCAGTGTTACTCTCAGAAATGAGACAGAAATAAGCACACATCGTTAGGAGACCTGAATACACTATGTGCATAAACCACTATGGCAAATGTACCTGTGAAATTCAGAGAATTCTGAATTCCTGCATACATTGGAGGAATTTTAAATCATCAGGCAATTGTGGATACTTTGAAGGCTGGAATCTTTTTTCTTGAGCGTTCTAGGTCAAATTTTTCAAAAATGTGTGTTATTGCATGAGTATGTACACATTTTTTCAAAGTTTGAAATCTGCCATTAGCTACTAACTGCCTTTAGCACTGGATGTCTTTAATTAGATAATAGTTTTTGCACTATAGGTTGCATGGCTCTGAATTAATGTCAGCATTGCATGTTTTGAAACTCTTAGTGCTCCTGTAAAACAGTTTTTGTTGGAGGGAAATGATACATGGGATTAACTTGTTTGCAGCTTGTAATGAGAACAGAGGTGGAAGAAAGAATTAAAGCAGATTTCACTAAATTGGAATATCTTACTCTATTTCTAAATATTCCCTTCAAATTTGTCAGATGGCTCTAATAAGAATGTAAGTTAATTCTGTATATGAAGTGAGATGTAAATTTGCATCAGATTTTGTTAAAGAATCATAATAATAAAATATGAAAAATCATTGGTCAAAGGAAGTGGTGTGCTAAGTTATTAGATGTTAGGTCTTGATAATTATCACCCTCTCATGCATTTATAATTAAGTATATTTCTTTTTGAAGAGAATTTAGTACACAGCATTTCTGAAACCTGTCAGTGAGTTACAAGTGCAGGTAATGAAGATAACTCCTAAAATCTTAGAAGAAAATAAAATAGCAGTAAACACGAAGATAATTCTGGTGGTTTTTCTGGACTAATTAAAGAGAATGCATATTTAAAAAGAACTAATGGAACATATTTGAATTAAGTCCACACTATTAAAAATTCTGCCAAGGTGAATGTGGTTTGTGCTGCTAGCACAAGGCAGGTCTGAAGTAAGCTTGCTAGCCAAAGGGGATGGCTTCAGGTAAGAGGAAGAGCCTCTGCTGTGAGTCTTCACCTGGTCTGCCAGCTCCTTACCTCTCTTCTGTGTTCAGAAGGAAGGGACAATGATGGGAACTGCCTTGTTCCCTGGTGATGTTGGATGTCTTTTGTGTACCCTTGAAAGAGTTGACAGCATAATGTATAGCCTAATTCCTTGAGCACAGCTCTGTATAGGTTGCCAGGAGTTATCAGAATGGGTCTGCAACAATTTTCAAGGTCTGTCATACACTTTTCGACCCAGAGTTGTCTACTTCTGAAACTGAGAGAAAAGCTGCAGACTATGATTAAAGACAACAGACAGATAGCAAACGTGCACATACAGTGAAATGATTTGCCATGTCTGGTAAATTGAAAGGACTTTGCTTAGTTTTGAGATTTCAAGCAACTTATTTACTGGCACTGATATGATTGCATTTTACAATCATGTTCAGTATCTGAAGCAGAACCATAAGGTCTCTCATGGCACAATCTGTTGCTGTTTTTGCAAATACCAAGAAGTTGACCTAGCAGTGACAAAAAAAAAAAAATTCCAAAGGAATCCGGAGGACAAGACTAGTGATAACTGTTCCTTGTCAAATGGAAATGCTGGACAAGATCCATCAGATTGGAAATGCTAAGAGAGGTTATAACACTTAATATAAAACTGATGCTTCTTTCTGGAGCTTTTGCCTTGTTTAATGTTCCCACAACTGATACAAAGAAGCAGCTTTGTCTTTTCAATGATGAAGTGAAAGTAATGTGGCCTGAAAGCGTCCTGAATTTGTTGTACCAGTCCACTTAGTAATCAGGAAACATTTTAATGATATTTTAAAAACTTGCCCTTCTTCCCTTTCACGTTGTATGAAGTCCTTCAAGTTAAAAACAGCAAATAACCTTTCATTAAATCATCCAGCCTACCTGTCAGTGCTCCTTGTTCAAAACAGCATATTTTGTACTGTGTTTTCTCCTTCCTTCTAATTGTGTCAAATGTCAAGGATTCCTTTTCTTCTCCTGAGAAATTAGTTTCTAACAAGAAGTTTCTGCCCAGAAGATTGTCAGATATCCAACCTTAATCCACTGTTTTGTAATTTCCTACTCTTGCACCTGGTTTTTCTCCCAAGTACTGAGATAGATATGAGTCAGATTCTGCTTTTCTGTTAAGTCCACAAAACATACCGACCCTATTTCTGCTTGTGATCTTGGCACTTTGCTCATTTCCAGACTAGATTTTGTAAGAGCATTTTTTAGTTCACTCTCAATTGAATGGACTGTGTGTTGTCTCAGCTTTTTATTATTGGGATAGTGTTTGAGGAAGAACTCTTTCAACTACTGTGTGCTGTATTATCGTGACCCTAAAAAGGTAGTATTCCCTAGATGAAACAGACTAAAAAGAGGAGAGAAAGTTGTAAGGTATGAGCTGAGAAGTGTCATTCTCCCTGACTTCCCATTCTTGCAGTGATTGATGGCAGACGTGCGTGTCCTGTGTGCTAAGAATCTTGTAGCTGAAAGCAAAACTTCTGTGACTCCTTTTGTCAGTGACCTGATGATGATTCTTTTCATTTCCATGCATTCAGGCATACCCCCATCATCACAGCTTTCAGTTGTGCTTTTTTACATATTCCAACCAGACTTATTTCTGACTCTCCCTACATTCTCTCTGGTTTGCCCATTTTGGAGAGTGTTGCAGCACTGAAGGCTGAGTGCATTTGTGCATTTCCAGTGGTCAATCTATAGCCAGCACTACTACTTTCCTGCTCTGCACAGCACAGTGGTGTGCATGCAGCCAAAATTTATCCTCTGCTGCCATTCTCCCCTGCTCCTCATCCCCCCGCCCCCCCTTATCAGTGATAAAAATCTCCCCCAGAGCCATGTAAAGTATCTCAATAAAGGAACAAAATTCCACTGAATTGACTGCTGTTGCTGCTTTTTAATAGTACTTTTTTTTTAATTTAATGGGAGAAAAGATACCTTGCAACAGGCAGAAATTCGTTTTCTCTGGTGTTAGAAGTAATAGATGCATCAGATGACAGAAAGGTGTTGTAACCTATATGGATATATCTTAACTGACATACAAAGTAAGTAATTACAATTTTCCACTTTTGTCTTGTTTTCTCCTATGTTACAAGACACTTGAGTGAATTTTCAAATACGCTTCAAATGTCTGTTCTGTAAATTATTTGCAAATGAATTGGCACCATTAGATAAAGGATTGCTTTAAACTACAATCAGTGTTTTACATCTATATGAATAATCAACAGGGACTGGAGCTGCCAAACATTGAGTACCACCTCCAAGCAAAATTTTGTTTTGTCTGACGAAGTGTCAGAACAGGAATATTTTCCTATTGTACATGCGATTTTGTAGTGATTTTTATAGTGATTGCCATCTCTATTTAATGCCTAAAAGAAGAGACTGGTTTGGCAACCAAAGGAAGCTGACCTCCACCTCAGTACATGCAATGTCCTGGCATATTATTCCATGATTCAGTTGTTTTCATCCACTGGATTTTAAATCTGTCTGAATTGCATAAACATTCGTAGTTCACTGAGTTCCTGGTTAAATTATATAAATTATTATTGAGCAATTTTAAGTGAAATTAAGTTATGGTCTACAAAGCAACAAGAATAGTTGTGTTGTTTTACTGTTCTCTTCATGTGAAGTAAGAAAGAAATCTATTCAAGAATGGCTATAGCAAAAGGAAATTTGGTTTCCAACTATAAAGTAGCAGCTGGTTTCTTGGTGGGTTTTGTTTGTTTGTTCTTTATTTTTCTTTTTTAAAAATGTTATTTAGTCATGTTTTGTGGCTGACTTATCCTAGAATTAGGTGAGCTTGCTCTCAGTGGCAGGAGCTGTGTGCTTCTGCTATATCTGCTGCTGATCTTTGCAGGGCAGTTGAGATTTTAGGACTCCTACGACTTGCTGTGCTGTTGAAGTAAAGGCTAAGAAAGAGAATGATGCACGGTGCAGTCAGAGTGTTTATTTATATTGCCTTCTTTTATAATCAAACACTTGCACTGTTTTTATTTGTACAGTACTTTTCATTAAACATCCCATCTTAAGACACCACTTAAAAACATTCCTGAATAAACAGAAGTATGTTTTAGTCCGTCTCATTTTCTGAGTTGAGCTTGAGCACTCCTTGGAATGACCTTCCTCTGCAGCTCTGCGTGTTTAAATGCCAGAGTGAACATCCTCACTCATGCAACTCATAGCCTGTCCCAACCATACGAATGCTTACAGGGTTGAGATATAAAAGGTGCATAATAAAGATTTGCTTTAAACTTGGCTAAAAGCAATAGAAACATAAAACTGTTAGCCTCAGTGTCATTTAGTAAGTCTCAACTTTTGAATAATCTTTGTCTCTTTCTTTAAATGATATTCTTATGACATTTCTGTGTATTTTTAATGCAAATAAAATTATTCTGAATGAATGACACTTCACTTCAGCAGCTTGTAAGACAGCAGCTTGTGTAGGAGTCGCCATCTCCTGCAGGTTCTTCAGAAATGGAGGCAAGCATCAGCCCTATTAGCAAAGCAGGGCAAGTCATCTGACAGGCTGCTCATCTCTAGAGGAAATATAAGCCATCCTCTTCCTGAACTGTCCAAATGTAATTTCTATAAACATTTCTACAGTTTGTTGTCAGTGAAGTGCTCTGTGTTACTTGTCAGCTGTCTTGACTGGGTTTGCCACAGTTAGGCAGTAAAGAAAAGGCTTGGAATATGCTTGCTGAGTCCTTCAAAAGTGAGTGTGGTGGGCAGTGCAGTGGCAGTGTGTTGATTACCGTAAGGTTAACGAAACAAGTAAGAATTGGGAACAGTTCTTCACGTTTGATTTCACTAAATGCCATTTTGTAATTTTGTCTGTATGTAGAAATCTACATTGTACAGTTGTGGCCAATGCAATTGAGATTTCTTCCTTCTTTCGTGTTACAGGCCATCTCCCGCTTGTGCGAAGATAAATACAAGGACTTCAGGAAATCTGCAAAGAAACGGTCAGTCAGTGCTGACAATCTGACTGTGGTTAGATGGTCTCCTGCTATTATCTCCTAACAGAGGAGACTGGAATATTCCTATGGACGTACAGTTTCATCCATCCAGTTTTTTTGGGGTGGGTTGGGGGGGAGGGAGAGAAAAAGACTTCTGATTTTTTTTTTTTTTTTTAATCTGTCAAGCTGCCTTTACAGTGCCTCCCCATTGTGTAGCACACGAGTAAAGTACCTAGTGGGAGCTGAAGTGGAGAAGCCAGTGTTTGGAGAGAAGATGGGTGACAATTTCTTTCTCACTTTCACTAACAGCTTTACTCTTTCTATGAGGAAACAGCAAATCGGGTGCTTGGAAGTAGAAACAAAAAATGAAGTAGAGGCAGAAAAACTGTTTCAGAACTGTGCCATTTTTCAATGTGCTGTGCTTTTGAAGAGAAACGACAGCATGAAAATGAACCATGTAGTCAGATGACTGTGCACTAGAGGAGTGATGTTCGGAGAGTTCCATCTTAAAGGTTTCTCTTAATATCTTTCCTAATTTTTATTTTTCCATTCCTCATTGCTGCTTCCCAGGAAAAATTCTTCCCCTTGCACAGCAGCAGATACCAAGTCTGTATTTACAGTAGCACAAGCCCCTGAATAAATAGTGTTGGTTTTCTTTCACTGCACTTTTCTCTGTAAGCTGTTATTAGCATTATTCTTCATAATTATTATGCATATGTTATATTTCTCTTATGCCTTCTATTGTATTTCAAAAGAGAGAACTTGACCATAGTGCTGAACCAAAAGTGTGTACAGGGATCAGAAGATCATTCATAATTTCATGGTGTGTTTTATTTATAGTATACTTGGGTGTGTGTGCCTTCCTAAGTTCTTGGAATCAATTATTTTTCCTTAATACAAAGATACAGTTGTTAAAGTATTCAGATGATGACAGTTATAAGACTTGGGCCAAATATCTGAAATTTGCAACAGTTCTTGTGATCCTTTTTGCAGATTTTCATGGCATTAGAAGTTTAGCAGAATTCATGTAGAGACAGATTTGTTTTGTATGGCCTAGACTAGTTCATTCATTCACCTCCAGGTCCACTGTTGCAAGCAATATTCTCAATTTTTATGTGTTTACTTTAAAACAGACTGTTTGTATAAAATAAAAAATGATTTTATAAGCTTCACTGAGAAGGCCTATAGAAGAACAGGATACACATTTTAACAAGGTACTTCTCACAAGTAGATTTGGTTTTGAAGCTAAAATGCAAACCTTCATATTTTTTTCAGTGTAGGCACTTATAGAATTTAAAGACAACCAAACCGTGAACATAATTTTCAACTCTAATTATTAAGCTGTTCTGTTGTGGTTACTAGTTCCTTCCTACCATGGCTGTTGCCCCCTTGGGCAATAAGAACTTCATTTTTATTTTTATTTTTGTTTTTGTTCTTATTTTTATTTTTGTTTGCGTAGTTTAGAAAGATACGGTTGAAAATGCTCAGTTCCCTGAAATTCTTTCTTTGTGACTGTCACTGAAGTGAGTGGCAGCAGACTTCCCTGATGTATGCACTACTGTGGTAAACCGAAAAGATTCCATATTTATTTTCATTAAGCCCTATGGGCTTGTAGCAAACCTAGAGGCCCTGAGAAGCACCCTTTGCTTCACTGCAGTGCGGATCAGATGCCTCCAGGTGAAGAGGCACTAGCAGGATTGAAGTAGTGATACCAAACAGTTTCTGTTAACCTTCTAATGTGATTTGCGTGATTTGTGACATGAAGGTTTTGTCTGTAAATTCTCCTGATGTCCTTTGGGCCTTGAAAACACCTTATTCTCATCATTGTTGTGCCAATGCGTTGGAACTGTGAGTCTCCAAGTCCATTTTTTCCTTGAACATGGAATGTAAGGAAAGTATAACAATACAAATGCCAATCAAAGCATTTGAAACCTCTTTACAGGTGATATCAAAAGGAACATTTTCAAAGCATTTGAAATTCATCCTTTTAAGCATAAATTTAGGCTTTAAAATATGTAAAATATTTTGATTTATCAACACTTTGCTAAACTATTTTCCATTTAACTTGATATCAGGAATATTGATTTTATCCATTTCCGGGCGATAGATATATGAACTTTGGATTATGTAAAGATCTCAATGCATCTTCTATAATTTTTGTGAAGTTTATTAAACTACTTTGAAGATTGTATAGTCTATTTATTGTATGTATGTACATACAGTCTGATACTTTAAAAAGTGGATTCCGTAAAACCTGGCTCAGTCTTGTTTAGACTATTGAATATCGTTTTAGCCTTGTGCACTGGACTCTACCTCTGTATAGGAGAATTTTCCATATTCTTAATTAGTTCTGATTCTGTGATTAACTTGGTTATGTTTCTTGCACTAAGAATTAAAAAAAAAATCTGCTGTAAGTGTGGATTTTTTCTTTAAGTTTTGCCATATGAATCCTCTACATGTAAATGGACGTTTCTTTCCCTCATGATTATAAAATAATTCTTTGCTTTTCCTCCTGGTTTGTTCCAAGTTTGCCAAAAAAACCAACAACCAGTACCTGTCAGGAAATCTGAATAAGTGTCTTTTGTTTGCAAGGTATTCTATGCCATGTAATTAAAAAATGAATTATTATTTAGGATTATGTTGTGTTTAGTGGAGTTTTTTAAGCGTTGCTATATGGAAAATGCCATTGCAAGATTAGAGTCACCCAGGGCTTGAGAAATGAGGTTGAACCAGACAGCGTTTTCATTGATAGCAGAAGTAAATTGTGGTTTTCATTTCAGAACCCAAAACAAAATTTGCTGTAAGTGTTTTCTGGATGAAGGTTTTCACTATTGCTTTGGTCACCAGCTCGGAAACAAAAAGATGTGGGTGACATACTAAACCTGTCCCTTCAAGTGCCATTGTCCTAATGAGTCATTTTCCTCTGTTGAGCCAGTGGGGCACTGGGTTTGTTGCTTATGCATTGATAATTGGATAAATATTTGAAAAAGGTTTCTTCTAAGAGTTGGGTTTTTTTCATGCATCCCTCTGCAGGCTGGAGATGTTTCCCTAATTCCTCTCTCCATCTGGAGACTTATTTATATTTCACTTTATGTTTCTTTTATGTTTTCTTGTCAGCTGTACACTTCATTCTGATGGATGCTTTTGAGACTGAGAATCTTGGAGTCGTGATGAAGTGCAGATAAAAGAAAAACTACAAGAAACATTTTCCCCTGTCATAAGCCCTATCAGTCTTTTGAACAATGCACATTTATTAACAAAATGCAAAATCCGATAGCAGGGTAATGGGATCCTTTTCAATAACTGTGTTTTTTTAATTTGCTTTTCAGTCTTTATGTGAGAGAGGAAAAGATCAGCATGTGTATCTTCATTTACCTTGTAGTAGTTAGCTGAGTTTATCACATAAAGTAAATGCGTGATGGGAGACCTGCTCAAGTGTTTTTGAAATCTTAGTTCAAGCTTTGTTTTTTATTTAACACCTCTTTCTCTGTTTCCCAGCTTTGTTAATGCTGCAAACTTTAGGCACAAACTAAAGGTTAGAAGGAGCAAAAGTCTCGTCAGAAAAGAGTGACAGTGTATTGGTGGCAGATGACAAAGTGACATCTGGGAGTGTTGGCTTCATGTAAAAATAGCAGTCTGTGGGAGGGGACAGAGGAATTGAAATGACAGAACAGACAAAAAACAAAGCTTTAGCAGCTGAAGCAACAAATTATTTACAGCAATTCTTTGCTGATAATGAGCACTGCATTTTCCTTTGACATGTTTAAATTACTAATTAGGGTGCTGCCCATCCGCTGCAAACTCATGTAGCGCTCTGCTTCTCTGAGGCACATTTAAAGAATTTACTCAACCTGGCTTTTAGCACTTTCTCACTACTGTTTCAGACATGCTTCTGCAATCTGATTTTTGTTTTTATTTTTAACTTGAATCCACAGTTCTTGAAAACACCTACCTACCTCTGCAGTGGAGTGCCCATTTAGTATCTCTAATATGTTCTGAGAAGACAATGCAAGTTTGAACACTTCTCTGTGATTCTCTGTGATCTATTAAGAAACGTTAGTAGCTACATCTGAAGCATGCAGCAAGTATCTTTCTGCTGTTTGCTTTTTCTCTTTGCCAACTGAACTGCATCTTGAGGAAACCACAGAACTGGTGAGAGTTGGAGTTGGCTCAGCTTACTACCATCAGGTACTGATGGAAGATACGTAACAGCTGCTGATAGGAGAAAACGCTTTAAAAAAGGAAACAAAAAAAAATAAGAAGAGCAGCTGATTATAATGATAGTTTTGTTGTATATGAACCTGCTTTTCTTAGTCCTCTTTGAAGAATCTCCAAGAAGTGACTGGTAAATCCCAGAAACACTGTTTGAGAAGTAAAGCCGGAAAGCAATGCTTGGCTTAACTTCTCTTGTCTGGGCTTAGGTTGTCAGGCACAATGGGCAGGAAGGCACTTTTAAGAAAGGCAAGTGGCAAAGTGGTATTAATAGGCTGTTCCTCTTGCATTTATTTTTGAGTGATTGGTCTGATGCGATTTGATGTAAAAGAGGGTGGCTTTTTCTGTGTGTGCCTGTTACACCATGTGTAATATGCTTCAGCATTTTTGGGGCAACTTTAAACTGCGTTTTAGTTGGGGATACTCTGGTGATGACTTGCTGAGCACACTCCTTGCTCTGGTGATAGGTGATCACGCACTTACATTTCCCATATGAGCTGTTCAAAACCTCTGTGAAGACTTTGTAAAGCTCACTCAAGACACTGGGCAGAGTCAACTGTGAAGATGTTTATGGTTTCCACAGACTGAGAGCAACAATTAACCATTAGCAACAAAATGTCAAGTTGTACTTGTTGAACTTTCTGGCTTGAACAATGAAAGACACAGTTACAGAACATCTTTTTTTGAAGTGCTATGGTAACTAAAACAATAAAATTTTATTGGTAGACCTTGCACTTTTTCCCCTTTGGAACTGGCAGGGAAGCACCTGCTTCAAAAGTATATGAAGATGTAGGTGGCTTGCTCTCCTCAACGAGGCATTAGAATAAAAGGTTTCCTTTGTGTAAGAGATCCTGTGACACACTTTGAGTCTAAAGCTAATTCTTCTCATTCTTCTCTTTGTGCCCTTTTATTTTAAATACTAGTTCAAGTTATTCTGTATGTAAACAGCATGTTGGCAACTGGCAGCTGTGATATACTTGCTGCCTTCTATTTAAATGATACCGATGATCCTGTGATCATACTCCTGTGTTTCATATCTTTCAGGCATTCTAAGCATTCTTCTGTAGAAACCAGAGGGGTCAAAAAGGTGGAAATTGGAGTGCTACAAAGGTTAGAAAGAAAAATTAGGTGTGTGGGTAGTTTAACATAAGGAAATAAGAGGATAAATATATTTGCATCTCCTGCAGTGCTAATAAATAAGAATGTTAATGATGCTTTGAGTAGCTTGACGATGATAGATTTCTTGGAGAAGCAGATTGAGGGGTACAGCTGTTTCCTTTAAAACACACAGGATGTGCAGATTGTATTGCCATAAATCCTAGAAGGAGGAAGACCATGTTGTACTGAGCAACATCTGAGTATTGAATATCCTGCATTAGAATTGCAGTATTTACCTCAGTGTTGAGTTGCAATCTGCAGTTTTTCTATTTCAGACTTCTTTAATTTCAGACATAAAATGAATTGTCCTTGACAATTTCATTGTGTGTGGGCAGCTATTTTCAGTATTAACTGCATTAGATAAGGAGTTTTTATAGTATCTGGTAATAGAAAAAGCATTATTTAAAGTGTCATTTGAACCTGTTTGCTCCCCTGGAGAGAGCATTTGTCTGGGCTCTGCAGCTTGCTAAGAGTAGGTAAACACAGTGGTGCAAGAGCTTGTTTTTTGGAACCATCCCCTCTGTGTTGTATTGTGAATCTGGGTCCATGTGCTCCAGCCTCCACTCACACAGGGTTCCCCAGAGCACATTACCCAGGCCCACTTCCTGGCAGCCTTAGAAGAGCTCTGGGGAAGGAGAGCACAGCCTCGGGGCCAATGCTCCATCACACATGCAGCACAGAAGAAGAGGAAAGTGCATTTTTACAAATTACTGTTTTTACAGGAGAAGATGGCTGGAGCTTCAATTTCTTCAGCAAACTGTTACTGGCTTGTTTTCAGTGTTTTCATAAAATGTGCCTAAAAACAAGCATGGTGTAATGCGTTTTCTTGAGTGCTGTCCCTCAGGATTTGCACAGGACCCCCCAAACCACTTTTTAAGGTGCCCTCATGACATCGGGCTGCAGCAGAGCTGTGCCAAGTGATGGCTGCAAGGCGTGGGGCTGAGGCCAGCCTGCATTGTTGGGCACACCACAGGGCAGGCCTGGAGTCATGGCTGTTTGTCCGTCGTGTTGCAGAGACCCCACGGTGTATGGCAGCTCTTGATGTGCCCACAGACCTGTGGATGGGGTTGTGATGTTTTCACACGGGCCAGGTCTGCCCTCCAGCTCCAGCAGTTGTGTCTGCACTAGCAGCACTGCCAGCCTTACTGCCAGATTGCTGCTAACCGAATGTGGATATTACAGCAGGAATTGTGAAACCTTTTTTGCAGCACGTACATTGGTTTTGGCCTTGAACTGAAGCAGCACAAGGCCAGCACCACTAGTGGAGCTGGAAACTCTAACTGGTGAATTGGACTGCCTCAAGGCAAGAAGAGCAAGAAGAGCACGTTTGTTGAAGTGCAGGTTGCTGTTCCCTGCTCTGAGCTTCTGGCAGTTTGGGGTAGGAGTTAATGCAGATTGCTCTTCCCAGACTCCACAGGAAGGGGTCTTGGGGGTCTGCCATAAGGTACTAAATGGGGCAAAGTTTGCTAAACAACAAGTGAAAAAACCTCTAAGTCCCTGAGACTAAAGCTGTCAGGAACATGGTTATTTGCAGCAGTTTTGAAGATCCAGCATTAGGCTGGATGTCAGTGCACGTCAGTGCAGAGCAGGTAGAAGGATGAACTTAGCAGTTCTGTTTTGTCAGTGCTACCAGCATGAAGGCACCAGGCATGCATGCCCCATAGAGTGGTCAGAGCACTGCAGCAGAAGGATGGGCTGCATTTCATCCCCCGTGCCCAAATGGTCCTGAATAGGACCCCACATCAACCTTCATTCCCACTAAGGCATGGCTTCCCTTACTGCAAAATCTCCTTATTGCTTTGATCTGCCTCAGGTGTTGGCAAGGCATTCTCACCCGTTGTCTTTTGCTCTCTAAAACAGCAGAATAAATCACTTTGGATCCATGTTGCTCCTTTTGGATTATGGTAAGATTTTAAATGAGAGTCAGTACTGCACTCCTATTAATTTTACCAACACTGAGGAATGTGATCTTTCTCTTTGAAATGAAAATCCTGCTTGATATAATACATTAAACATGAATTCTATCACAATTTAACAGGAGAGT